CCTTCAAAAGGTAAAGAACATTTCAAAAGTAAAAAAAAAAAAAAACTTCCCAAATAGCCATGTTACTCATTTCATGATTTTGTTTGTTTACATTTTTAAAGATTAGACAAGCATCAATTCAGAAGATTTGCTCTTGCATTTAGTAAACAGAAAGGATCCCATCCATGAATTTGTAATTAGGAAGTCATTCACATGAAGTAACTTCTCACTGGATAGTCTCAGAAATGCTGCTAAGATAATCTTCAGACTTCATTATAAAATTTGTCCACTCCTGACAAATATCTTCCATGGGGAATTCTTCACCTCCGTACTCCAGAGGAAGAATGTTGGGGAAGTGCTGAAGCAAGCTGGATTTGTAAGTGTTTCCATGCAGATGAATCTGAAATAGCCAAAGTGTTTAGAAGGTACTGTCTCTGGCTTTCACTGTGCTAGATGCTTTTCCAGTAGAAAAATTAACCTCATAAAAAAAGTTACACTAAAATAAGAGAGAACACTCTTTAGTGTCATAAATTTCTGATCAGATACAAGATTTGGAACTCACTATGTAGACCAGGCTGGCCTTGAACTCACAGAGATCTGCCTGCCTCTGCCTACCAGGTGCTGGGACTAAAGGCGTATGCCATTATTCCCAGCAATGTTATGTTTTCTCAAGATAGAAGAATAGTTTCTAAAATTCCAAGTATCCTATTATAATTCATGAAATCACTATATATATATGTATATATATATGTATATATATATGTATATATATGTATATATATATATGTATATATATTAACATTTAAACTGCAAACGCCTTTCAAAAATCTTTTGAGCAGGGCATGAGTTGTGCACCTGTGTGATCCTCAGATGCTTAGAAGACTGAGGTGGGTGGACCACTTGAGCCCAGGAGTCATAGACAAGAGAGGCAACAGTACAACACCCTGAACAAAAGCTTGAAGAGAGACCCTCTACAGAGTAATAGAGGAAAGAAAGTGCTCAGGAGAGCAGATTATTGTCAGTCTTTTCAAAAATTCTAAAGGGTATTAGATACTTACCTGAAATTAAGCTCAGCAGGATAGGTTAGTGAAAGCTGAACTCACTGCTTTACCTGCATGACATTAAGCCATATACCCCAGGTATAATGCATTTCAGTGCACATGTTTAGTAATTAGGAACATATTTATTTTTATTTGTATAAATAATACACCCTGCAAGACTTGTATCTTATTATGTGAATTTATCATAGTTTATTCAACCAGCCCCTAATGCTGAATGCTTGGTGGTTTTCAGTCTTTTTCTGTTATGTGCTTTTGTTTGTATACAGTTGTATCTATCCAGAAATTCTCAGAAATGCTGTCAGAGTTTGATAACTATTGCCACACTGCCCTCTACAGGGGTTACACGGTTTTGCACTCTAGCCAGAGATCCGTGGGAAGCCTGATTTCATCTAGAACCTCACAGCCAATGTGCTAGATTTCTCAATATTAAAACTAAATTGAATTTATAGGAGTAGTTGATACGTTTGGTAAATATTGGAAATATTGAACCAATGGTTTACAGGTGAGAAGATATGGAGGAATACAATCAAGCAGTCCTTGAATGAAAAGGTAGGAATGTTTGGCAAGAAGGAATAACCACTGGGATATGTTCTACTCACCCGGCCTTTAATTTTTTCAGTCAGGAATGGTTTAATCATAGAAAAGACAGCCTGGAAAATTACTGGCTCATTTATCAAATGGATGCCACGAACTTTCAATGGAAATGAATCCTTTGAAAGTAGAAAAAAATAATCTTTTTAAATAACAAAACATAAAAACTGCAATTACATTTCTAAAGACAAGTCTCTTCTATGAAGATTTTACAAATATACAGCAGGGGGCTTGAGAGATGACCCATTGGGTAAAGTGCTTGCTGAGCAAGCACAAGCACCTGAGTTCAAATCCCTAGCACCCATTTAAAAAGTCAGGCATGGCCATGTCTATATCTCCAACACAGAGGAGCAGAAACTAGTGGATCCCCAGAGCTACAGCCAGCCTAGAGAAACACACACATACAACCTCCCTCCCCATACATACAAATTTACAGCAGAATATAAAGTATGATTTGGTTTTCAAAATGATGCATTCCATCAATACGAAAGCCTGGCTTATACATCACTGTTGGTGGTTTCAGAATGGTTTCTCCTTGTAGTTTAGGAAATAGTTACATGCTTTCATCAGAAAACCTATCCCTAGTCACATTTAAAGCTTCTTCTAAGGAAACAATGACCCTTGGGGACATTTATAATTTAACGTTTTTTATTTATTTTTATTTTATGTGTTTGAGTGTTTTGCCTACATGTAACAGCACCTGTGCTTGCAAATGCCCAAGTAGGTCAGACTGGATCTCCTGGAACTGGAGTTACAGATGGTTGTTAGCTGCCTGAACCCCGGTCCTCTGCAAGAGCAGCAAGTGGACTGAGCAGTCTCTCCAGTCCCATAATTTAATATTTTTACCAAAGTTTTTTAGAGGAAAAAAATGAAACTTTAATGAAAATTGAAAGAATGTAACCATAGGTATGCACTTTTTAAAGTTCTGGTATTGCTATATATCTTTAGCATCAAAGTTATACGGGCTTATTTAGAAAGCTGAAAAAGTTAAGACTTGAACAAAACTAAACATGTCAATAGTTTTCTTGTCCTTTAAGTTTCATTATTACTGATACAAACTTTTTCTTTTATTTTTGTGCACATTTGGGTTTTTTTTCCTTCTTCCCTAACTTTTAGAGATGTGTTATTAATTTGGGGTGTTTTTTCCAGATTCTATGCATAATTTTATTTAAACGTAATTGCCAATATGTTGTCCAAACACCTTGCATACTGTTCCGTTCCACTGATGTAATACTCTTTATTGTGAGCTTCATGAGTCTGAACATTGTGAGATAGTCCATCAAGTGGCTGTGCCATCATTTAATGGGCCACTTTCCTACTTCTGGCAAGTAGGTTGTTTCGTTTTCTTTAAGGAGAAGTTGTGCTGCAGGAACTGTGTGTGTAGGTGGAGTGGTGGTTGTAGAACAGCTTTTACATTCATCCAGAATAGACTCCAATCTTTAGGTCACTGCTGACTGTACGAAGCTGAGCATTCCTGTTGCCTCTCTGACATACTTTACTAATATGCAAAATGATTTGAAATAGAGATCAAATGTCTTGACTTAGGATGGCCGTTAAGTAGAAAAATATTTGAAATACTTAGTAAAGAACCTAGCATATAATAAGCTATTATTTTAATGTACAAAGCCATATTTAAGATTATTCTTTAGCTGAGTTCCAAGACATAGACTCACTTGGTAAAAGATAAGGGTATTTATTTATTTATTTATTTATTTATTTATTTTGGTCTTTTTTGAGACAGGGTCTCCTTGTAACCCTAGCTGGCCTGGAACTCACTATGTAGACCAGGCTGGCCTTGAACTCACAGAAGTCTGCCTGCCTCTGCCTCCTGAATGCTGGGATTAAAGGCATGGGCCACCACACATAGGCTCACTTATTTATTTTTGAGACAGGATCTCATTACATATCCCTGGCTGGCCTGGAATTCACTATGTAGAGTAGGCTGGACTTGAACTCATAGAGACCCACCTGCTTCTGAGTGCTGGGATTAAAGTCATCATGCAACACCATACCTGGCAATTAATGGTCTTTTGAAAATGCTTTGGAGGCTGGGGAGATGGCTCAATTCAGTCAACTGCTTGTCACACAAACATTAGGACCTGAGTTTGATCCCCTTTTTTTTTAAAAAAAAAAAAAAAAAAAAAAAAAAAAGAGCACATTGGCATGTGTTTGTAATCCCAGCACTAGGGAGGTACACAGGCAGATCCCTGGTGCTTTCTGGCTGGTTAGCCTCCCCTCATCAGTGAACTACAGGCCAAAGCAGGGCTAGGTCTCAAAACAAAGTAGATGGTACCTGCAGAGTGTATACACCACTCAAGAACACACACAGCCCTGCATGCACAAAGCCATCTGAGTTGATTGCTATTATTGTTATGAAAGCAGGTCTAATATAACCCAGGCTGGCCTTGAGCTCCTGATCCCTTCTGCCTCTACCACCCAAGTGCTGGGATCACAGGAGTGCTATCATGCCTGGTTTGAATCAATTTTTTAATTTAGGAATAAAACTTAAATGAGAACTAAATAAAATCATTTTATCACCTAAATATATAAATTCTGTGGTTACTTACTTTGGAATACTTATTTTTGTAGTTTGTTATATTTTAATAAATTATATATACATGTTTAATTATATAATTAAATAATTATATTTAATAAGTTACCATTATTTAAATATCGATATCATTCCTGATATTTTGTTTCAAAAAAAATGTACTAATGGGGCTGAAGAGATGGCTCAGTGGTTAGGAACACTGACCCGGGTTTGAATCTCACACCCATATGGCCTTACAACTGTGTCCATAACTCCAGTCCCAGGGGATCCAACAGCCTCTTCTGACCTCCGCGGGTATTGTACGACACAGGTGCACTTACCTACATCCAGGCAATACACATACACATAAAATAAAAATAATAAAAAATATTTT